TCTATTCCAAAACGTAAATCAAAAACCAGCCTGGTTTGAAATGCATTTTACAACAACACTAGAACATGGACTTTTGCTGCTTATGGCACAGACACACAAAATGTAAATCAAAACTAGTCAGCCAAGCGTGACATGGGCCTGTTCCATTAATGATGGGGGAATCATTTTTCGCTGCAGTACAATGCCGTGAACAACGCTTCCAGTGCGTCTGCTAATTTTTAATGGTCAGGGTACCGCGAAAACAAGCCCTATGCTAGGCATTATAGGCTAGGCTTATGTGGGCTGGGATTTGCAACAAGGTCTTGGGCTAGGCCTCTATACCATAGTAGGAGCCCTGGTCCTAGTCTAGGCCTATAATATCTGTATAAGTAATCATATATGATTACAGGTTTACATTGTACCAAGGTCAATATTAAAGATCGCATTTATTTTTCATTGAAAATTAAAAAAAAAAACTTAACTTAAGGATTTTAAATTAAGTTAACTTAACACAAACAACGCGATAGATATGAAGTTTGCGAGAATAATTTGTATACTTGTACTGTATTTTCTGAAGCGCCGTTCGTTTTTTGGTTTGCTAAAATAATCTGCAGTTGTTACAATCAGTGGCGTCACACTCGGGCGCTGACGGGGGAAGTGGGGCGCCAGGGGCCCCGACATTGTAGTTTAAAAAATATATTATAAACTGTAATACCGTAATTTCGCTCAATGGGCCCCCGACAGTTTTAAACAATAAAAGCTGGGTTCTGATGTTTGAAATCATGCTTCTGATTTTGTGATCAATTTGCTTTGCATTGTATATTGGCCCTACGTTATCAAAACAGGTTTAGTTCTCACTAAAATTGGCCTATTCTCTGTATTTATTTACACCTAGAGTACATAGGGCTACTGCAGGCATACCAGTCCGAAAGTCATGTACCATTCTATGTTCTCTAACAAGAGAATTAACAGTTAATTTTTCAATCTCCAGGAAATTTAAATAGCATCCAATCCTCCTTTTTGGAATGTAAGGAAATAGTGCTTCCCTTGTTGGATCGATTGTAACTCCTGATTGTAGCAACCCCAAAACGAATGGCACTTCAGAAATACAGTACAGAATACCAAAACTTCTCTCAATCTTTATATCCTATCGCGTTGTTTGTGTTTTAAGTTAACTTTATTTATTTACTTTTTATTTAATTTATTTTTTTAAGCGTACAGGTTTGGAATATTTTAAAATCCTTAAGTTAAATTATTTAAAGTTTTCTTTTATTTTCAATGAAAAATAAATGCGATCGTTAATATCGATCTTGGTAGGCCTGCAATGTAAACCTGTAATCACATGACTACTTATACAGAGTATATATTATAGGCTTAGACTAGCATACCTGCCAACATTTAAAAGAAGAAAAGAGGTAGGAAGTTATTGAGAAAATGGCGCATAGCGCCATCCGAGTGCGAAGCCCGAGGCGGGGGGTGGGTTTTGGAGGGGGTGTCCCCCTCCCAACAATGGGGGTTCCAGGGGGCGCAGCTATAACAGTTCAGTAAATTTAAGGGTTTAGATAATCGATTTTAGAGTTACAAAAAATGGAAAGGATAGAAATGTTCAGTTGGTCAAACTCATACATTAAAAAAAGTCAACACACTAAGTTTCAAAGTCTGTCCTGCAACTCACACACAAAGCATGCCATGAAACTGATTTTTCCTCGATTACTTAATACAACTGTGGTCTGCAGTCCTGGTAGTGCTGTTTGTTTACCATTCTGACGGCGAACGAGATTATTTTGATTGAGAACTTAGCATAAAATAATGTTGATTTTCAATTTTTAAAAATCGGTAGGAACAGCCTCGTAATTCGGTAGGCGGTAGAAAAGTGAGAAAATCGGTAGCCTACCGCCTAAATTGGTAGGGTTGGCAGGTATGGACTAGGACCAGGCCTCCTACTATAGTATAGAGGCCTAGTCCTCCTACTATAGTATAGAGGCCTCGTCCAAGACCTTGTTGCAAATCCCAGCCCACATAAGCCTAACCTATAATGCCAAGCATAGGGCTCGTGATCGCGGTACCCTGACCATTAAAAATTAGCAGACGCACTGTGAAGCGTTGTTCACGGCATTGGACTGCAGCTAAAAATGATTCCCCCATCATTAATGGAACAGGCCCACGTCATGCTTGGCTGATTAGTTTTGATTTACATTTCGCAAGTCTAGTGCCATAACGCAGCTAAAGTCTATTTCTAGTGTTGTTGTAAAATGCATTTCAAACCAGGCTGGTTTTTGATTTATGTTTTGAAATATAATTTGGAGAGGGCGTTTGATCAAGTCAGACCTACGTTTTGAATTTGAATTACATTTTAAAGAAATTAGAACTACATTTGGAAAAATTTGAACTACGTTTTGAAAAATTAGAACTTCATTTTGAAAAACTAGATCTACATTTTGAGAAATTTATGCCTACGTTTTAATAAATTAGACATTGAATTTTGCAATTACATTTTGATTTTAACATGGACTCTTGCTGCGTATGGCACCCCATAGAACCTAGAGTTGGCGGGGGCTGCATGTGATGGACGGACGAACCTAAGGGTTGGCGGGGGGACGGGAGTTCATCAAATGATGTTTGGGAAAATAATGGTTAGAAAATACAGCATCTGATGGACATCCCGTGTGGCATAGGCGTAGATCCCGGGGGGTGGGGAGAACCTTAAAATTATGGACACATAAATTTACAGCATGTGATGGACTGACCGTCTATACACATATACAACATGTGATGGTGGCATGTATCTGATGGACAGTCCCGGGTGGTGGAGAACCTTAAAATTATGGACACGTAAATGTACAGCATAGCTTCATCAAATGATGTTTGGGAAAATAATGGTTAGAAAATACAGCACCTGATGGAGTGTCTCGGGTGAAGAACCTTAAAATTATGGACACATAAATTTATAGCATGTGATGGACTGACC